TCATCCCACCATGTTTCAGTGAGCGCAATTGTAATTGTAGTTGTAGTCTTTGGCTGTTTCTGCAGAAACACATGAAGAGAACTGAGATTACAGGAAGTAAAATCAAAGGCATCAAGCAAAAGCGTCTAGTGTTACTTTCCATTTCTGATGTCTCTGAAATAGTCTAAATGTACCAAAAGCCATCACAGTACTGCTAAGCCTATGTGGACTCCTGTATTATTTATAGCATGCCTGCAATTAAAACATATTAAGACAAATAAAGCAGACAGTTTTTGCTGTTAGTCAATAAATGGAAAACTCTAGCGTCCACTCCTAGGGCATGTGCCTAAAATTATGAGTATTTTATAAGAATACATGTTACAGTAAGGAGCACAGAAGTTGATTCCAAGACAATCTTTGTTTCAGATGATTTGAGTAAGAAGCTAAAGCCATTGGTTGAGGAAGAAAGACAGTTCATTCTAGATTTGAAGAAAAAGGAGTGTAAAGAAAGAAACTTTGATTATGATGGAAGAATCAATGCATGGGATCTTCATTATTATATGAACAAAACAGAAGAGTTGAAGTACTCCATAGACCAAGAAAAACTGAAGGAATACTTCCCAATTCAGGCTGTTACAGAGGGCTTACTGAATATTTACCAGAAGCTGCTGGGACTTGTATTTGAGCAAGTAGAAAGTGCTCATGTTTGGCATGACAACGTTACACTTTATACAGTAAAGGATAATTCAACAGGAGAAATGTTAGGGCAGTTCTATTTGGACCTTTACTCCAGGTAATTATGACTTAAGTGGCTTACTTATGTGTTTAAAATGGAATTGGTCTTAGTTGGTTGCTGGTGTGGTTGAAATTAAATGCATTTGGAAGGAAATATTTGTCCCACTAACAAGACTATTACTGTGATTACTGTGTTCATTAAGTTGTCTTCTGGATTGTTTTCAGATTCTTTACACTTCTTTTGCAGTATTATTCCATCACTAATTTTTTCATTTTCTGTAGTATAGCTATCGTCAGTTGTCCATAATTTTTTTTCCTCTATGAACTTTTCTTCTTCCTAACTGTAATACTGTGTTTCACTTTTCATTTATGTTGAACTGTTACTCCAGTCTGTTCAGATGAATTGTATTCCTGTCTGCCAAGTGCTTGTGGTTTCTTCCAGTTCCTCTTTACACTTTATATGTGTATTTTGTACCCTATTGTCCAGACTGCTAAAAATGTACCAAATAGATCAGCACCAAGAATAGATTCTTGTTGAGCATGCCTTGATATGTACTTCCAGGTTGATCTCTGTAGCTATTTAACTACTTACAGCATCGTTTGTGTTCTCTCAGAGGAGACTAGACTGTTTTGACAGGATTTCTTCTTAGCTAGTCCTTTTTGACTGTTTCTCACTGTTGTTTTTTTTTCATTTTAAATTATTCTTTAGCAGTTGATAAGGGCTGATACCCTTTTTTAGTATAAATTGATTTAAGCTCTGGGTAAGAAAATTAGATTAGTCAACACAACAGTGCGTAAATCGTTCTTTTACAGGTCGGGACATGTTATCTCCTTCACCTCTTTGGCTGCTCCCCCCTTACTGCATATCATGTGAATTGCTGAAGCTATTTTTCAGTAAGACTATTCTGACTTAACTACCCAGTTAACTACTCAGGTTTAGAGCAAAAATTTCAAAACAATTTTTCTTTAAACTTTTGGATCACACTGAAAATGCTGTAAAGTATATTCTTTTGTCTCCTGTAATGAAATAAAAAATAATGCTCTAGAGGACAGAACCTAATCCTTTGTGTTGCAGTAGTAGTTGCAGCTGAAGTTGTCAATCAGATTCTTGTAAATGCTGTTGTGAATCTTAAACTGATGTGATTTAAGTACTGGTTTTTTTCCCCTTGTGCTTTTAACAGGATCTTAAACTTAGTGAGTCGTAGAAGTCATGAAAAGATGTGTTTTGTTTGTATAAAGCTTTAAAGAGACACTAACTGATTGTCCTTATTCTTGAATAGACTTTGCCATTCCGGTGAGCAGGCTTGTGGTTTGAAGATAGTGTCTGATATGTTTTCTTATACAGAGAGGGAAAGTATGGGCATGCAGCATGCTTTGGTCTCCAACCTGGCTGTCTCCTCTCTGATGGCAGCAGAATGATGTCTGTAGCTGCTCTGGTAACCAATTTCACAAAACCAGCATCAGATTGCCCAGCATTGCTGCGACACGATGAAGTAAAGACTTACTTCCATGAATTTGGTCATGTAATGCATCAGATATGTGCACAGGTCAGTTATGTTTCAATTCCAGTGTACAAATTATTTCTTTCTCTACAGTCCCAAAGCAAGGTATAAATCTATTTTGGTGGTTTCTAATTTTAGTGAAGTACATGAGCATTTTTTGGTTATTTTTCAGTGTGACAGGTTGGATTGTTTTTGTTGCTTTTAATTTTTATTTAAAATTACAGCAAGGGCTAGACTTTCTTATGAACAACACTTTCATAGGAGCATATACGTTTGCACATGCAAGTACCTCTGACGAGTGAATAGATTTGTGTGTAAGGTAAAGAAGGTGTTCAGTAGTCGCTTCTGTTAGAACTATCAGAGGGCATTTTTTTACTTCTAGCAGCATGCTAGATATTAGCAGGAAAAAAAAGTTGCTGTACCTCGGAATGCAAATGATTTGTGAATCCAGATCCCCTCCAGCTGGGAGCTATTGCTCTTGACAGCAAATGCATAAAACAGGTCTTGCCTGAGCTATTTTATTTTCTGCTCTCCTGTCTGACAGACAGAGTTCTCACAGTGACCAGGAAGAACTGAAGCTAGTCTGCAGATTTTGCATCAAGATGTCAATAAAGTTAGAAAGTTGCTGGTTTCATTTTTACTTACATGTAAAATTGATTCTGCCAGATGATAAATTTATTACTGGCTTCATGAAAATTTTCTGTTTAGTCTTAGTACTCATTCACCAAAAAAATTACATAATTATCTACAAACCCAGACTTTGTGTAGTACTGCTTTCATCTTCTTTATAAACAGCTGCCAAATAATAAAATCAGAGAAATATGACGCATATTAGATTTTAATTCTTGACCTTGATCCTAGAGACTAGGGCTGCAGAATAAAGAAACACGGTCATAAAATCCATATATTAAATCTGGAATTAAAGAAATTCTGTTCAAGCAAACTACAGAACGAGCAGACAAACTTGCTTAGATAGCTTTGCATCATGTTGAAGGTAGAAATATAGTTGTTATTTTATCATCTTCACCCTATGACAGTGTTTCTGAGCTCAAAAATAGAGAAAGAAAAGCTGTTCCTTCCTTTAAACTCTGTAGAAGGTGTTTATAAATGAGGCATATTCAGCACATTCAGCACTGATACAGAATTGACCACAACATCTTGATAACCATTGAGAATGTACCTGAGTGTTGCAAATCCCCTTCTGGGCAGCCCAAGCCAACAGTTCAAATGCATACTTAGTTCACTTGCTGTGGAATTGCACACAGGTCATGGAGGCCTGCTTTCTAGTTGTCTCTCCCACTGCTGAGGCGGTTTTTGTGTGCACGGCTACCATGCTTAGTGCTGTTGTATTTTATGCAAGTTGTTATTTGCATACACACAAATAACTTGTTAGTCCCACATAAGAACATACTGTCCTTTGGGATTTCTGTATGCAAAGCACTGTCTTGTTTCATATGATGATTTGTTTAAGCTTGTTAAAACTTGACATTTAAAGGGTACACAGGGATCAGACTGGGTGAAATCTGTGAGCTGCTGGTAAAGGTCGACTTTTGTGACTGATATCCCTTGTAATGTACTTGGGGTCTGCTGGAAAGTGAAATATAAGAGTAGGAAGGAGATCTGTGTATGCTGATAGGGGAGGAGAGCTGTTCAACTACCTGAACCCAAATATCTTAATATTTTTTGTTAGCATGGTGCACTTAATGTATGGGTAAATGAGTATATCTGGAGACCAACAAACTCTTGCACTTCTCTTGCCTTTAACTGTAGCCACTTCTATCACCAGTTCTTCTGAGCTGATGCTTCCTAGCTTTTCTTCATAGCTACTATTCAGCAAGTACAGCAAGAATGGCTAGCCTGATACAGCTATGGATTTGAGTAACCTATAAGTGTAAATGAAGGCAAATGTTTTTCTCCTTTTCTACTGTTCTTCTGAAGACATGAGAGAAAGATACATGCATGCGACACAGCTGTCAGTCTGATAATGGCCTGTATTACACATGTGGTTTTTTGGGTAACCCTGCAAGAAAGTAAGTTCAGTTCAAAAGCCAGTACTCCTGTGGGCATCTATTTCCCCAGTGGAGGATGTGACCTAAGAATATGTACAGCTCTTAGACAGGGCGTTTGGGAAACTGAGAATTTTCTTTTTCTTTTAGCACTTGAAATGTTTTAATAACTCGAAGAACAACAAAATTGGGTTGGCAAGAGGGAGGTAGACTTACTATAGGACAAATGTGGAGTGAGACCAAATACTTTCTATTGACATTTGGGCAACTGTCTTTCAAAAGTGACTATTTCTTTTTAGAAATACTTTGGGTTTGGAATATATTTTAATGAAGATTTTTAACTGTGCAGAACTTTTCTTCAAAATCAGTATCTGGGAGTTCTTTGAATCAGTGTGGTAGGCTGTAATACAATAAACTCTTTTATAAGTGTATAATTGAAGTTTATTATTTTATTTTGGGGTAATATAACAAAAATTTAGAGTTGTATATAAATTATACCATTGTCATAAGGTAGCACAGAAACAATCTTATTGCTGTCATAACCTAAAAGGCAAAATCAGTAATTTTAAGAAACCTGAAGTACTATTTCACATCAGTAGAGAATGCAGTAAATAACTACTGAGTAATTTATTTTGTTGCTTGGTAATCATCTTATATCTGAATTTTTGCCTTATTTTCTGTTTTTTTTTTCTACTTCATTATTGGCCTGTTCCTTTTGTTGTGATTAACACTGAAATTTTGTCATTTGAAAGTTTATATTCTGCTAGAAATCCTGGCTTCTATTTTCATTTAATCCAATGGCTTTTCCTTCTAGACTGATTTTGCTAGGTTTAGTGGAACTAATGTGGAAACAGACTTCGTAGAGGTACCTTCACAAGTGTTTGAGAACTGGGTGTGGGAAAAAGAACCACTACAGCAAATGTCAAGACATTATAAAGATGAGGGCCATGTTGCAGATACTCTCCTTGAGAAACTTGCTGCCTCTAGGCTGGCTAATACAGGTATCTCTCTCCTCTCACTCACCCCAGTATATGTATAAGAATATATTATTAAAATATTGGCGGGAAACATTAAAGACAAACATAACAAGCCCATTACATTTCTTCTGTATGTACACTTAGGACTGTCTTTCTGGGTTTATTTGCACGGATACCACCATTAGTAAAGGCTGTGATGACAGATGCCACTATTTGCAGGAATAGAAGCAGTTTTGATTTTCCAGGCTGCCTACAGGACTGAAATACCTTTACATTCCTCTACATGTGACTTTTTTACCTACCAGCTTTGCTCATTTAAAATTGAGGGTGGGGGGAGGGGCGAGGAGGAGTGTGAGGTCCTGGGTTTTCTGTTATTCTTTTTCTGATAGACCAGGACAGGCATTTTGCGTGAATACAGTATCAGATCTTTTACATTTATCATCTGCATTTAAATTGCACATGACATGTGACAGATATAGAAGTTGTTTGCAAATTTACTGAATGTACATAGCATATTGCAGACAGAATTGTTGTAGCCCTGCATTGCTCAAACAGCCTCTTAACTTCTCAATCCAGAACCTTAAGTCCATGTTCTCTACCTTTCCAGCAGATATACTGTCTTCCCAAGCTAAAGTCCCAATTCTCTTCTCCTTCCATGTCTTATACCACGTTGTACACACATGTATCTCCAAACCAAGATCATGTCATTACCTATCATCTCATTGTTATTCTGTCACTCTCACTCCTTTGTTCCTGTAATCGGGATTCCCCCAGTATCATAGTCTTATGCATTTATGGTGCAATTTGTCATTAAATCTCTACTGTTTATTTCATACTGCTTCCTTATCCTGAACAAGATGACCCTGTCCTTCTGGCACTGTACAGACACTGTAGCTACATAAGCATTTTGTCTGAATAAGGGTTCACATCTTGCAGTTCCTTCAAAAAAGCCTATACCAGCTGCAGCAGTAGTTCTTGCTGTTCTTTGAGGTGTTTTGAGGTAGATATACTTACTACCATCTGTGCAGGCCCTGAATTAAATGGTATACTAGAACTGAAGACAGCTGAAAACATAATTTTAAGTACTGAAATTTGCTTTTAAAGTATCTGCTTTATTTGAGTTTTGATCTTTGTGGAAAATAACATTTTAAAAGATGGATCTTATAATGATAATTCCTTTATTAAAAATATGCCTCTCAGCTTTTTATGTTAGAAGCAATTCAGTTGGAAATTGCATAACTCCAAGTATTTTCCATGGTTAAAATTCTAAAAATTCAGGATGCATGTTGAGATCTTTGAATGAAAGATGCTAAAGAAACTTCAGCTACTTTGATGATTGCTAATTAAATGTTCTTACACAATTAGGCTTTTTAACCCTCCGTCAGATTGTTTTGAGCAAAGTTGACCAGGCCCTGCATACAAAGCCATCTGTTGACCCAGCAGATGAATATGCCAAATACTGTATGGAAATTCTAGGAATTCCTGCCACCCCAGGTATGTCAGTATGAAGCTTTTATACAGCGTGTCAAAATGTTTTGATTAAACATGCCTTTCTTTCCCAGTAATGCTTGGCATACAAAAACCCTGAGTTGTTCTTTATAAAAGAACCTAATTTATGAAGCTGAAATAATTACTTTGAAACTTGGGGTGATCTTAATGTTCTCTTCTGAAGGAAGTTGAAGGTAAATATAAAACTTAACTTTTTGCAGGTTATATTTTAGAGTGACGTGATCTGGATGCTACTTTAAATGTTCTGTCACATCTGTGTTGGGTGTGCTGCTAGCCTAAAATAAGAAATTGAGGTTTTTTTTAGTCAACACAATATGGCCAATTCTTCAAGAGGCATATTCAGACCCTTCATGTTAGAGTTTTCGAAGCAGTTGATACAAATTCCTTATTGATTTATTCTTAAAGTTGAAGTACTGTATACACCAAAGAAATAACTGCATTTTATGTAAGTAAATTAATGTTAATCTACTTTTCAAGAAACAAACATGCCAGCTACTTTTGGACATCTGGCAGGTGGTTATGATGGTCAGTACTATGGATACCTGTGGAGTGAAGTGTTTTCCATGGACATTTTTTATAGCTGCTTTAAGCAGGAGGGAATAATGAATCCAAAGGTAGGTGATGATTACTTTTGTACTAAAGACTTTTGTTGCATTTTGTCTCTGAAACTACATTTATTACAATCATGATCCATAGATACAACATCTCAGTTACTTCTTCTGTACCTGTCAAGTTCAGATCAACAAAAAGTTGTATAAATAACACAATTTCTTTGCAAAATCATCTTAAAATTTCCAAGAGGACTTCGGTTTTAATACAATTCTTAAACAGTCATGTATTTAATATTATTTTATGACACTTTTAAGACATCTTGTCACAGTGGCTAATCCCTTCCTCTTTAATATTAGCCTGAAGAAACATATTCCTCCATTGCAAGAGCAGATGCATATTCTTCTGCTATGGAAGCTGTGTGATAATGGTGCTCTGTTTCTATTAGTAGTACTTCAAGTGCGTGGTACTTTCATGTAATTATTATTTAGAAAACTGAATTTATTTTGAGTTTTCTCTTTCATAGCACAGCATAACTTGCCAATTTTTCCCTCTTTTAGATTTTCTTCCAAGTGGCTTTTGAAGTTCAAATCACTGGCAGGTTTTAGATTTACTGGGCTTTTTTTCCCTCATGTGATTCTCCATGCTCTTCTGCCTCCCGCAGAAAGAAAGGATAGTTAGTGATGCGTTTAGTAGTCATGCCAATTCTGGCAACTTTCTTTATTTTTCACATTGTAGTATTAGATTTGTGTGTTGAGATGCTGCAGTTTTATCATGGGAAAGACTTTTCAGTTTTCCTGATTCTCTTATTTGTCTTCTGGATTCTGCAGCCAGCACTAGTTCTTACCTTCAGGAAATGTATACAAGAAAGAAGTAAAGGAGAGAGTAGAGAGTGCTTGACTTTCCTATGTCTCTACTGGGATTTTCCTTCATTCCTCCTTTTCCTTATTGAAGCAGCCCAAACTTCTAGAGCTGTCCCTCCCTCTAGAAGGTGGAGAAAAAACCAAGATTATACTTTGACCTGCACAAAGAGAGGAGTCCAAAGAGGAGATGGAGTAGTGGCTAGAAAGCTGTGGTTAGGCCAAACCTCAGAAAGGTTTTTATGAAGTAAAACAGCAAACTGAATAGATCGCAAGGAGAGGTTTGGAGGTCAAGGTTGATTTTGACGTGCTAGGAATTCATGATGGGTACATGTGACAATAAGCAGTGCGAATGTTGTCACTCATAAATAGGAGCAGGAGAAAAGAAATGGCAAGTTATATGAGAGAATAAAATAACTTTTTAATGAAATGCTGTTCATATCAGTCTTAAAAATGGCATCTGGGGAGAGGTCAGACTTGCTGGGTTTTTTAACTGTTTACAGCTAGGAGAGATGGATAAGGGTGCAGGTGCCAGGCTTGTGAAATTTTGTGTCAGTTCCCTGTTCTGACCCATGCACATGCCTCCAGTGTCATAACAGGCCTTTTTTCTATTAGCTTCTCCCTGCTCTCAAAACTCTTTTCTAGTGATAGTATAGTAAAAACCCTAAGTTACAGTTTGCCAGAATTGCTCTGACCTTTACATCTTCTGAGGGATGAAAGTGTCTTTTATTCTGATTTTTTTGTGTGTAGATTTTTGTTTTCTTTCTCTGTGTATGGGAGGCTTTGAGAATAGTATAATTATACTAGGAGTGAATATTTGCTATGGTTCTGCTAAAAGGCAACTAGTGCCTCTTTTAATGTGAAGCCTTTATCCAGACTAAGAAGTAAGAGAAATTATTATTTGTGTGTCTCACTTGCTCTCTAGCATATGTGTGTGCACACATGCTTTGCTTGAATGCTGATATAACTTCAGAGGTAGCTCTGGAGATTTTCCCTTCCTCTTCAGAGCAATGCTATCTTCTCACATCGGTTCTCCTCCAACTCATTTTCTTCATTTGCATTCCGTGTAAGTATAATAGAGTCCCACACGATGGGACAAACAATCTTTTATAAACATATACTAGATACCAGTATGATTTTTTTAGCTACTCATATTTCATTATAACTAGATTTAGACTAGTCTTCAGAACAGCAGGAGAGGAAAATGTTTACATTATTATGACTAGGGTTTTTAGAAATACGGCTTACCTCTTCCTGTAAGAATAAAACCTCTCTTCCTGTTTTGAGTGAGTTTCAGAGACTATATCTATAAAAATTCTGCAGCAAACGCTTAACTCTTTACTTCATTGGTTGTCTCACACTGCAGTTCTTGCACATTTTCTGTCATAACCTCTGGTCTCCCTAGAACTGAGCAATACACTAGGTCTAGAGAGACAACAGCAAAGACTCAAGTCTACTCAAATAAAACTTTTAAACTACAAGGAATGGTATCTTCATTTGCTGCTGATGTTCGAGAAACTAACACAAATAGTGAAGTATAAGCAATTCTTCAGTTAATATTTTTTTGGCATTTTAGGTTTATTCCAGCTGTTTAGACAATGCAATTGGTATTGGTAATGCAAGTAAGTCATGGAAGTCCATCAGTTAAAAAAACATATGCTTTTTTTTTGCAGTGTAGCTATCAGGAAGTGGTGCAGTCTGTAATCTCATAACTTTGATGTGGAGGGGAAATATATATATGTGTCTATACTGTGACGGAAAGGAAGAACATTATTTTCTTCAGTATCATAAGCATCTGTGACATCAACATGCAAAACAATATTGTACAAAAACAAAATTGATAGTCATGTCTCAGAAGCCCAAAATTCTCCAGACATTTTCTTTAAAATGTGACCTCTTGTTAAGAAAGTCCTCATTACTAACTGTTATCTCAGAAGCTTGGTTCATTTGTTTTAAAGGAATCCATTCCTTAAGAACTAATAATGTTCCTTCCTGAAAATAAAACTTAAATCTCTGTTACTTTAAGATACTTTAATATGGGAGTTAGATGTGTTTGTATATATTATATATACGACTACGCATATAGTATATGTGTATGTGCCATGTCATTCCTCAGCGCTATAAATATCATCTCTGTTCTCCAAACAAAGATTAAAGAGAAATCATCAATTAGAATCAATGTTAGGTTCCCTTTCTTGACAGTGAGAAGTAGGAGTAATTCATCACTGAAGATTATGTGGAGATTGCGCGTGTGTTGTGCATTAGAGAATGTCTTCCAGATCAGTTGTGATTGTAACTTCCAAAACAATGTAAAACCACAAGAAAAATAATTTCTTCAAGAATAGGTTAAATTTCCATTCTCTTGAGTTCTTCCAGCAGACCTAAATTATACTTGTGGTGTATCCTGATTTGGTATTAAGAAAATCTGGAAGGAATGTAGGTGTTTAATCATTAGTAGATTTTCAAATATGCAACAAATATAGAAAAGAGGCAGTTTACAAGACAAGAAGTATTAACATTCTGCTTTACCTTTTTCAGGCTGGGATGAAATACAGAAACCTCATTTTGAAACCTGGAGGATCTTTGGATGGGATGGATATGCTACAAAATTTCTTGAAGCGTAAACCAAGCCAGAGAGCTTTCCTATTGAGTAAGGGTTTATGTGTTCAGTAAGATTGTAGATCCTTTGCAATGGCATATAAGTATGGAATGAGCTGGAAATGTCAGTGTATTTCACATCTTAACTATGTATCACTCTAGGGAAACTGGATCACTTTTTGATGATTTTTTAATTGCATAAATAAAAATGTGTTTTTTTAAAAAATTGTATAGGACTACAGAATTCAACACATCAGGGAGAAAAATGGGGATATGCAGAATCTGAGGAATTTGGATGGTCACTTTTTTAATTGTTATGAAATAATATTAATCAGTATGGGAATTTGATGCCATGTTTCTCTTTTAATACATGCACTTAAACAATGTCTTGTGAATGACTTTTAAAACTGGAGGAAGAAAAAAGGACATGACCAGCAATAAAAGAAACAGATTAATTCATATTCTGTGTTCTTCTATTGTATTGATGGCTCACAAATGTCTTTGTGGAGAGGACGTATGTTTGGTTTCATCATGGTTTGGGTTCAGTCTAGCTTCCTGACAAATTTCAAGACTGAGAACTTGCCCCACATCATGTGTGTATATGCTGTGTACAGTATGTGCGATAGTTTTAGACTTCATTCTGATGCATGTGAAATTCTTGTTTCATTTTTAAACTTACACAGTATAAGTAAAAAGAAAAAATCCCTACCATTTGAGCAACCGTTTGCTTCCCCTCATGGAGGAAAAATTGCCAAAATCTTGGCAGATCTTCCACCACTTTTTCTTTTTTCTTGATGATCACAAATAAGGTCTTTGTTTTCCAGATTGTATCAACAGTGGTACTGAAAATTTATACTTGAGCAATTATAATGGTTTCAGTTGCTTTCTGAAGTATTTTTAGGTACATATAAGGGAGTAAGAGAAGATAATGTCCCCATTGGGAATGGTAAAAATCAATCCAAAATCTTCCTATTCCTTTCCAGTGTGGTATGCACAGGTGCTATAAAAATTCTTCATACATTTAATTATTTCAGCTGAGGGAGTGTGAAAATTATCAGGGAACTGATTTTTAACAAGATTTAACTGAAAATTATCAGGGAACTGATTTTTAACAAGATGAGGAAAAATTAGTCTTGCAAGCCAACTCTGCTTCACCCAAATAAAATGGCTAATCCAAGTGCACTTTTCTTGTCTTTAGATATCATACCTTACTTCGGTTTTGGTATCACAACATCTATATGAACAAACTATAATTTTGGTTACTAGCTAATGTATTTTACACATTTGAACCATAGCTGTAAACATGGTTGGTATTTTTATTTGTTTATTCAACCGCAAAGTAAAAAAATGTGCCTGGTCAGCTGAAAAGACTTCCTCTTTTTCTAGCAAAAGAAGACTGAAAACATTAATTTTGGATCAAATCTATGTGTTTAAGGGGGCAAATGCCACAACTGTGAATGTTCAGTTGAAACTTTGTGTATTTTTCTTTTAAAGCACTTAAACTTGGGAAATAAAAAGGAGCTTTATTGGTTTCTGAAATGGAAAATTTGACTGGACTTATTTTTGAACCACACCAGTTTGGATGTGAGGAAACATAAATATTTGTACCCAAAACATATTAGCTATGTAGTCTTACCAGAACACATAATTAAGTCCATTCTAACTCTTATAGTCCCTTACAGTTTTAGACCCCAGTTCTCTCCAGTCGTGAAAATGTGACACATGAAAATCACATATATAAGAACATCTTGAACAGTATTCTGAAAAGCGGTAAAGGAAAACTGAGGAAACTGATGGATGCAAGATTATCCTAAAACCTGTGAATTTTGCCTACACACTTTTCCCTTACATTCTGACTGGATTTGAAAGTATTTTGCTTTCTTTTCACAGAATCACAGAATCGCTCGGTT